TGCTTCTTCATTGTTTCTCATCTGCTTGGCTCTGTTTACACAGCACATGCTGCTGAACATATGGCTCAGCCAGAGTGAGACTAGAAGGTGGGAGAATATCCTAGCAGAGCAAAGTGCTTCCTACACTGGAATCATCATAGAACCATAGAATGGCCTGGGTTGGAAGGGACTTAAGATTGTCTATTTCCAATCGCCCTGCCGTGGGAAGGGACACCTGCCACTGGACCAGGATGCTCAGAGCCCCATCCAACCTGGCCTTGAACACTTGCAAGGATGGGACATCCACAACTTCTCTGGGCAACTTGTTCCAGTGCCTCACCACCCTCACAGTAAAGAATTTCTTCCTAATATCCAATCTAAACCTGCCATCTTTCAGTTTAAAGCCAATGCCCCTTGTTCTGTCACTCCATGCCCTTGTAAAAAGTCCCTCTCCAGTTTTCTTGCAGTCCCCCTTCAGTTACTGAAAGGCCACAACCAGCTCTCTGGTTGAGCCTCCGAAAGATAAAAATCCTAACTTTTTACTCATTTACCAACAGACAGAAAACTTTTACTTTCCTTTTATATAAAATTATTTACCTTCTGTTTGTTTGTTTGTTTGGGGTTTTTTTTGTTAAAAAGGAAAGATTAAGAAGTAGTATAGATAACAGACTAAGGCTTCTACTTGGCAGCGTTTTTCACCCTATGCACAGGTTGGCTGACTGGCTCAGAAATTCTCTTCTAGTGTCTAAGTCCTGCACAAGCTGCCCCTGGTACCCCAGCAGCCTCAATGGTCCTGTCTTTTATTGGCTCAGAAGTTGTGCCCTGCCACCCTTCCAATCCAACCATGCTATGTGCACGGCATCAGTAAACACTCTGACAAAATACATAACTCACACTGATATTTTTTCTCCCAGATAAGCATGCTGGAGACATTAGCTTCATTACAAGACCACTAGGTGGCAATTTAGCAGCCCTGTTTTAAATGTTTAATATATTTGATTTCCCTATTTTGCATTAGACACAAACTTGAATGGCAAACTGAACAAAGTTCTGGAAAACATGTACTGGCTGTTCCTGCCAAATCTGTTGAGGTCTGTCTGTTTATCACACCCTTCCCAGAGGTGCATTAAATAGGACACCTCAGCGAACACCTCTGGCCAGGTTGCAGGAAAAGTAATTATTGATTATCATGAAAAAGTAAGAGTCCTTCTAACTCTTTAATATATCCTTTGTGTTGCAGGCTGTATAGGAGTTGTAGCTGTATATGCTATGAGGAGACTGACCCTGTCCACAGCCTCATGTGCATGACATAGCTGCATACATTGAAGGTGAATTTCTGTGGCAGCACCCAATGCAGCAGGGGAGTTACTGTGGCCTTTGTATGCCAAATGTGTCAGCAGTGACCCCACATCCCCCTCTTCTTGCTAACCGAATATCACAAAGATGGTATGAACCATTTTCCTAGAAATTGAAAGTTGTTTTCCTAACAAACAACTACTGTATGGTTGTCTGAGAGGATTGGATTTCTGCAGAATGCGTTTCAGATCTGGAAGATTTAAGACTGGCATCTAAACAGAGAAAGAGAAGATGAGCAATGCAAGTATATGTGTATGTGAGTGTGTACAGTTATTTTCATTACAAACAATAAAAAGATATATAAGGTATATATCAAAACACATACATACAAGAGAAATATTTTGATTGCATCCCCCTTCACCTTTGTGATAATGTTTATTTTTAGTCACCCTGTTCAGTGCTGAGAGCTTTTATGGATTTTACTTAGCAGTGAAGTGATGCTCAAATGACTGATATCAGAACTTTTGTGAAAACTATTCATAGTAGCGCCCACGGTTAATGATTCAATAAGGAGATTTACGAAGTATTTTTTCCCCAGTGATCTCAAGTGACACACACTAAAAGCAGTGAGCTTTTGATATGCTGACATTTGTTCCTGGGGAAAAAAAATAAAAGAGCAATAGCATATTGTAAAATTTCAGCCTTCAGATGCTAAAAATAGGAGGAAATGGAAGAAAAGAATTGCTTGAAGTCAGAAACCAACAAGACAATATGTAGTGCTTCTGTGCTTCAAAGCAGGCTGACTCAGAATCTAATGTTTTGGTAGAAAAGGTCATGAAGAAAATGGTTTATGATTCTCAGTGATCTTTATATCAAGTGACTCTTAGGTCTCCAATTACAGAGCTGCTACCTGATGCAAAAAAATTCAACCAGTCTGTTAACAGCAGAAAATACTGCGAGTGCAATTGCAGGATGTGGGGAGTGGGGACAGAACATGAAAAGTATCTTGTTCTCTTTTTCATAAGTATCTGAATGGAGGGTGACAAGAGGATGGAACCACACTCTTCTTGGTGGTGCCAGTCAATAAAGACAAGAGGTAACGGGCAGAAACTGATGCACAGGAAGTTCCACCTGAATATGAGGAAGAACTTCTTTACTGGGTGGGTGACTGAGCACTGGAACAGATTGTCCAGAGAGGTTGTGGAGATTCCGGCACTGGAGATATTCAAGAACCATGTGGATGCAATCCTGTGCCATGTGCTCTAGGATGACCCTGCTTAAGCAGGGAGGTTGGACCAGATGACCCTTGTGGTCCCTTCCAGCCTGACTGGGTCTGTGATGCTGTGATTCTGTGAATAGATGTGAAACTGAAGAAGATCTTAGGCTTCCCAAGTCGTAGGGGTTTTTTTGATAGCTCAAGACTCGAAAGTTTTAAGAGTGGTGCTGTTGCTTTTTGTGCTGTGACTGATAAATAGCTGCTGGTTTCCTGTCTACTCCCTGCCCTTGGGCAGTGTTACCTGCTGGAAAAATCCCCGTACCATCAACTGAAGGAAGGAGCTTACCTAAGTGTACCAAAGTACAAAAAACATGCCATAATATGTTTAGATGTTTTCATATTGGCATTGTTCTCCAAGGATTCTTTTCCTACTCTTCAGTAAGCAGGAGATCCAGCCAGCCCCGCCCAGCAACAACCCGCGGAGCAGCCGCCGTGGCCGGCGCGGCACTCCCTCTGCTGGCCAAAGGTGGCTACTGCAAGTGCCCCTCCTGCCGCTCTGCCCCGTTCGTTATTTCGTACGGTTGAAAGTCGCGTCCCTTCCCGCCCACCCCCAGTCCTCCGCCCGCTCGCCTCGCGATGCTTTTTTACAGTATAGGGAGGATAGAGTCGCACAAACGATCTCCCGTGAGGAAAGGCTGAGAGAGCTGGGGTTGTTCAGCTTGCAGAAGGCTCCAGGGAGACTTCCAATACCTAAAGAGGGCTACAAGAGAGCTGGAGAAGGACTTTTTACAAGGATATGAAGTGACAGGACAAGGGATTATGGCTTTGAACTGAGTAGGCATATGGATATTTAGATAGATATCAGGAATAAATTCTTTACTGTGAGGGTGGTGAGGCACTGGAACAAGTTGCCCAGAGAAGTTGCAGATACACCATCCCTGGAGGTGTTCAAGGCCAGGCTGGACAGGGCTTTGAGCAACCTGGTCTAATGGGAGGTATCCCTGCCCCTGTCAGGGGGGTTGTATCTAGGTAATCTTTAAGGTCTGTTCCAATCCAAACCATTCTATGATTCCATGATGTCCCATAGTTTCATTGAGCAACAGGTAAAGGGAAGCTGCCAAGCTCTCTGGCAGAGGCATTCCTTATTTGACACTGCTTCTTAGGCAATTGTTCATTACACCTGCAAAGACCCGTATATGAAAAATTTCTTAAAAAAACTCAATTACAAGCAAAAAAAGTATTTTTTGCTTGTTTATTTTCCATATGCAAACTGAGAAACTTCATGTTCTGTCATAACCAGTAACAGTAGGAACCCACTTTCTATTTAAAAGTCCTAAAAAATTCTTTCAGAGAGAATTTTTCTTCCTTTCAGGGAATAGAATTCTTTTAGAATACTTCAAAGAATATTCTAAAAATAAACATTTTCTCTACCCCCTGGAAACAATGGGGAATTTGTTTTAATCAAATAGGTGGATTTTGATTCCTGGCAGATGTTTTTTTCTTTAACAACAATTCAAGCAGCTTCATAAAATTCTCTTTTTGACAAAGTAATAATTTTCTAAACACTGTTATTTTTCCTCTTTAAGCCAAGACAAATTAGTATATGTGGGCATTTTAACACATCTGGCTTTGGAGAACCCAATTTTTATTCATTTTTTTGCAGGAATGACTGTGTTATTTGTTACCTATACTAATTTTCCCCTTTAGATCAACAACAAATAACAACCAACAACCTCTTCCATTCCCTGTCTGAAATTCATAAAAAAAAAAATCCCTCAAATGCACTGTTGTCTAAATAACATACTTAAAACCTGAACTATGAATAGAAATTAAAGGCTATAGGGTAATTTTTTCCTCATTTTTGCGAATTATACCAGTTGTCTTCCTACTTTATAGCTGTCTTTTATCTTCCAGCAGTGACACCCCCCATCTGACTTATGATCTCTCCACAGGAAGTCATTGAGTGACACAATAGAGTTAATGAATTGGTCTTTCACCTCCAAAAACCTGATCTAAATGCTACCCTGAGATAATGAGCATGATGGAGTTCAGTAATGTCAGCAGAGTATTAACTTCTGTTTAAAGGAAGAATGAGCACTGGCAGGAAAATGGATTTTAAGAGTGATTTGGAGCAATTGCACCTGCATGCATTATGGCAACTCTAGCCTTCCTTCATTAGAGTCATATTCACATTATCCCTTTGCTATTTGAATAGAATTTGGCAGAGGTTTATCTGCAGAGTGTATCATTTATCATGGATCTTTCTAGATGTTTAAGTTCCCTACCACTCTAATATCTAAGCACCACACCTTCAGTACCTGGTTGTTTAATGTCAGAATAGATCTATACAAAGAATCAGAGAGGACCACTTAACCAGTCAAGGATAATATTTTTTATCACAGACATACATAATGGCAATATATTTCAGGAAAAAGATAACACTACTGTCTAGTAAGCACCAGCTTAACTGCAGAAGTCAGCAGGACTGACTGAGTGTTCCTCTTTCCAGCACAGAAAGGCCAAATACAGTGTACTTCACTAAGGATCTCTATCCCTGCTAAAGGTGGATTATTTCAATGCTCTAAAGGCCTTCAGCACCTACAGAGGTAACTCCTTCACTCCTTTTTTGAGGGATTTGAAAGAGGTCAGCAACATCTTTCCAAGCACTTCATCATTCACAGACATATTACAAACTGTCAAACAATTTGGCAAAAGACAAAAAAATTTCTTTAAGTTTGTTGGCATTTTTTCACCATATTTTCAGCTCTCCCTCTTTGTTGTTTCAGACAGATCCCGCCTGCACTCTCAAAGGTCACATTTCTCAGTCTAAAATGAGAAGCATCTCGCATACTTTTCCCAAATTCTTGACAAGTTTTTCACTGTGCTAGTCCAGTGATGTCATTATGTATCTTAAAGCTTCTTCAAAAAGTGTGGTATCTGACATAAAGAGATCCATGTGCCCATACCAAGTGCCTCCACCCACTTACAAGCTTCCACAGGCTCTTCAAAACAATGGTGATGGTCTAGTTGTCTCGTCAGTTTAGACAGTGTTTCTCTGTAAAGCAGCAACACAATGATAGATTGCAGAAAGAGCAGCTGGGTGCCAGTGAGCAACGGGAAAGGCTGCCACTCCCTAGCTGGAGTTGGATCAATAAGACAAACAAATGAAGAAAAACCCAAACAACAAATCCCAGAACTCACCCCCAGCAAAAATAAGTCCAAAACAGGTAAACTGCTAACCCAAGTGAATCCCTTCCCCACCTTTATCCCCACTGAATTTCTTTCTCTGTGTGTGTTCCTTGTCTTTGGGGAAGAGATGATGATCTTCCTGACTGCTCCCCAAAACTAAAAAGGAGAACAAGACTGTCAGAGTAGCTGTGCTGTTGCCTTCGCTCTGATTTTTTTCCCTCACACAATAAAATTCAAGCTTTCACCTAAAAACAAAAACAAACCACCAAACCCCCCCCCACCCAACCCAATTGAAACCAAACAAAAAATCACACAAATTGAGTATTTGCAAACTAACTACTGTAACTTTTCAAGGCAATGAAACCCTGAGTAACCAAAGAAAACAAGTGTCTTAGAATAGTGAAATAGTTGATACCATTGTGTATACACAGAAAACCATCTTTACATCTTAGGCAAATAAGCTTTATTTTTTCCTGAGTGGCAGCAGCATCTGACTAACTTGTTCCCTGAACAGTTATTGGTACTTCACACTCTTACACAGACAGATGTTTATACATTCACCCTTTTTTTGTCACTCTGACTTCAGCCTTCCAATCCCAGCAAAACATATCTATTGATTACAGGCAGACTGTAAACAGCTCACAGTCTGGTGTTCTGTTGGCTTTGCTATTACCATCTTTTTACTTTCTTCTTGGTGTTATGGTTGGTTTGGGTTGTTCAGTTTTTTTTTCTTTCAAGGTTCTTGATTCACCCTTACCTACAGTCCCTAAACAGCTTTAATACAGCTTAGTCCTCCTTTTCTGCTCTCCTGCCTTCCCCTCCACAACTGCCTGCAATTCCCATCAAAAGGCTGGCTCAGACCCTCACAGTTCACCTGTTCATACCCAAGTTTATCTAAGCCCAGTCTATGCTTGTCTCCAATCAAAAGTTAATTTTAAACTTGAACAGATGTTTGTCCCCAGAGTTTACATAGTTTATATATTTAGAAGATAAATGTTCTCTTGGCCTTTGTTAGTCTATATTAAACAAGCCAAATTCTTTTCAGGTGTGACCGACAGGGAGCAGTCAGTGGTGTTTGTGCTCAGTTGGTGCCAGAAGGCAGCTGAACCCGCAGCAGACTTGGACCTGAAGCCAGACAGGTATGTGTGTGTGGATACCTGCAGGTTTGTGATTTTCAGTACTGGATGGAATGGTTTGGTCAGAATACAGGTGGAGAAAATGCACCTGGATGTGCAAAGCAGGACCTCAGTCTCTTCTCAGACATGGTCCCCAGTCACACAGTTAACCAAGAAGTTTTCTCAAATATAGCTGTTTAACAGGTAAGCTCTCTTCTATTCATGGAATATTATTGTTAGCTCTTAAGACCATGTCCTTAGACCTGGTAAAGCTGAGCTGGTTTCCTGGTTTCCAATAGGTTTGAAGGTTTTAGTTGTTTGGTTTTTTTTTGCCTTGGGCTGAGGCCAAGAGCTGTAGGGCTCAGGGGAGATGACTTGCCCTGATGGTATGACCCAGTACTTGCTCCAGACTGTATGAACAGAGCACTCAGCAGAGTATTAACATGTCAAAATGCTGAGTAGGCACCACTGAAATGCTGAATGTGGCACATATGAAATGCCCCGTGCACCAGGGACTTGGTATCTTGCGTGAGACCCACAGACATGTGAGCTTCAAGACCTGCAGAGCCTGACATGAGCACAGCCCAGGAAACACTGCTTTAGAGTGCATATGTGTGGGGGAAAGCGGGCTATAATGATGCTTGGGAAGGAGTTATCTTTTGCTTTTTCTGTTTGCCTATTCATTCCCTTTGTTCTGTGCTCCAGCTGAGAAGGAATCTCTTAGATGTACCCGTACGTACTGTCATGGCAGATTTGCTCAGCTACATTAAGCTTTGGTGTAATTCTGTGTCTTAGATGCCTTCTTTTATTTATTTAGTTTTAGTTTTAAACATGCATTATGATAAGATTTTGGGGGATTTTTAGGATATAGAGGGAGTATGTGGCAGGTCAGTGGAAAGGAAGTCTTCTTGCCTCATCCTCGCTACAGCACCCTGGGTCCTCCTCTGCCTCCTGGAGATGCCATCTTCCCCAGAAACTCCTGGACATGATCCAAGGAGAGAAGAATCACAGCTGAAGGACAGAGCAGACAGAAGGGAAATGGAAGATCCAGCAAGGAAACAGCACAGCAAGCATGGGTGGGTGACTCCTGAGGAGAGCACCATCAAAATCACAGCCAAAACAGGAGAGAAGGAAAAAAAACACCCTTCCCTAAGGTTTGAGAGATGGCAGTGCAGCCACTTGGGAAGTCACGGAGTTGTTAGTTGGAAAGCAAGACTGGATGTGAAGGCTGGGTCTGCTATGATACTTGGGACTGGAAGACCCTCAAGTTCTCTTCTGTCTTTCCTTTTCATTTTGAGTTTTCTCAGATTTAAAAGTATGCTCTTCTAGTATCTGTTTAGAAATAAACTGGTTTCTAATCATATATGTAAAAAAACCAACCTTTTATTATTTCTGGGAGTGATTACTTCCAAAATGAGATTGATACGCAGCTACCTTATATTGTGGCTTCTTCAAGATGAGTATCTAAAGAGTTCCAGAGTACATCTCCAGTCCTTCTTGGTAGCAGTCACTGCAGCATTTCACTGTGCTCCAGAAGGAGGGCATGGGTTCAGGTTCTGCGGCTTCGTCCTGTTGCTCCTTTTGCTGAAGTCAGTTGACTGTAGAAACTGATCAGGCAACAACTTGACCTGTAGCTGACTTGCTTACGCCTTCCTCCTAGCTGAGCATTGTGTATTCACAGCTGGATTTCAAAATATAGCTATCCAGGGAGTCTCATGTCTGGATATGCTCAGAACAAAATAAGAAATGTCAGAGCCACATTTTACATGGTGCTGTGGTCAGGTTAATAAATCTTGCAAGCTTTCCAAATAGTATGTTGTTGTGCTTGAGCAGGACTTGCCACCTCAAGCACAATGTCATCTTAGATATTGTTATGTAGCTTCTGCATCTTCAAAGATTTGCATCCAGTCAGCTGAAAAAACACAGTGACCAGGCTCATTTTCTCTGTAGAATAGCAAGTAATGTACCCTAAAAAAAAATTGTATTTGTGCCAAAAATATGTACACAGAAATGGTAGCTATGTTTCCAAGCTTTAGGTTTATTTTTTAGCAAACTAACAAAAGTGGCTTTGTTTTAAAATCAACAACCATGTCTATAAAAAGGTTTGATACACCAGAAACACATTAAAATAGCCTTATATGAATGCACAGTATGCCTCCAGTGATAATACTAACACTGTGCCTTGTGCACATAATCTTATTTGCATGAAGGACTAGTAGAGTTCTGCTTTTTGTGATCATATACATGGTGGAAAATTGACCAGATTAATGTTCTCATGACAAACTGAGATTTCAGGTACACCAATTGGTGTTTTAAGGACCAGTGTAAATAAATCCTGTGTTTTTAGCTGGCAGTGAAATGGCTCTGAACCTGTAAAACAGAAATGAAACATAGGCTGTATTTGTAGGATGTTGAGGATGGAAATAAGAGAAAGGCAATCAGTAATTTTGAAGCATTGCTAGAATGCTTCCTGTACTCAAACTCAACCACAAACCCCAGGAAAAACGTATGTTTAAGATTTCTTAAGAAATGCAATGTGCCCTGTTTCCTAGGGGAGGGAATCTGGCTTAGCAGCGTTGTGCAACGCAGCTAGACTGCTGCCAGCTACTGAGGAGCTCTCTGAACCACCCAGCAGCTAACAAAGAGGCTGCAATGAAGGGGTAGGCCGGCTGTGCTTCCTGCTGTAAGGAAGCTACCTTTTGTTACTTGAAAGCACTTTTCACATTTTTCATGTGTTTGGGCAGAAATCTACCCAGAATTTTCTTCCCCAGGAGAAATTTCCTTTTTTTTGAAGTTGGAAGACTCTGTAATTCAGGTGGAGAAACAGAAACTAGCTGTGAGGAGTCCAGAGATTTCAGTTAAACCTCATTCACATGGAAATTATTTGGAATTAATTTGCCAGTTCTCAGACCTATCCAAACTGAAGAGACTTTAAGGTGCTCACCCCAGGCCCAGAGCACAGTTTAGCTGATAGTGCCAGTGATGATTTTTGAGCAACCACTCTTGCTCAAAATATGCATATGCATGTTTTCAGGATCTGAGAGGCAGGTTGCAGTCAAAGAACAGAGAAAGAACAAGAATGTTCTCCCATACTGAAAGGAAAACCTGCACTGACCTCCAGAATGATGAAATAGTGAAGAACTTCCTGAGATACTGACAGGAACAAACAGAAGCTTCTGCCTCTTCAGTCTACTGTATCTGAGACGTGAAGATAGGTTGGTTTTGTCATTACCTAGTATTGGTGTTGTCATGCAACATGCATGTACTCTGGAGTTTCTAGTATCATTTTGAGATGATAATGACCTTGAGAAAAGTGAATTACAGATTTGATATAGTAAGTTTTCTAGATGTTCTAGTGTAGCGCTAATTTTTAGTGGAGAAGAAGGAAGCTTTCAATTCTTTCTAAATTTAAGAAGACAATAGATCTGAAAGAAAGACTGTTATGATTCTGTGGTGTAGGTTTTGAACTCTACAGTCACATAGTTTGCTATTTTTCATTTACATTCAAGTCATTTGGATTCGATTTTGAGGACAGAAAACAGATCAGAAATCCACAGTATGGTTTCAAAAGCTTCTTTGAAGTGAAATTTGACTCATGTGGTTATTGCTACTGGTTTTGTTGCTCGAACTGTCTGAAAGAGTTTCCTAAGTAGATTTATTGAAAATAATTTCTTAAAACCCAGTCCTCCCTACGACACCTACAAAAACAAAACAGATGAAATAAGTATTAAGAGAGAAAAATAATACTAAAGAGTCTAATTATACTTAATAAGATAAAAAATTATGGAAACTGTCCCAATGATGTCTTTTCCAGTTATTTAGAAAGAAGATAACATTGAAACACAAGTAATTCCTATTACTACTTCAGTATTTAGGGCTAGTGTTAAGAGGGGGAAAATGGAGATTTAAAGAAATTGGAGAAAAAAAAATATATTTTATTTCTGAAAATTAACCAAAGCTACTCTCTGTGGTGTATATTGTAGAACAACAGCATGCTGTAGTGAACAATAGCATGTTGCAGTGAAAGAGAACAACATAACATAATTGCTTGTATGTCACATTGTTACTGGTCCCCTGTCTGAAATCTCATGGCCCAGTGACACCTCGGCCCACGAAGGGCCAGTAAAATTCGCTGCAAAATAAATGACACTAATAAAATTCCATTTGGTGGGACCGTTTAATTTTGACTCTGCTACATAAAAGCAAAACACATATGTATATATTTTAACTTGAGTATTCAACTTCTTCCTCTCTTCCTTCACATGGAAAAACATATTACCCCACTGTCCAGTGAATCAATCTTGTCACAACAAACAGTTGGTAAACATGAGGGCTAAGTAAACTCAGAGAAATTGTGTGGCTTTTGCAAACTACAAAGCCAGCTTGCTTCTCCACATCACATAGAGAGGAAGGAAAAGTGTTTGTGTGTCAAGAGGAAGAAAATAAGCAGGAAATAACAAACCCAAACAGGAGTAGTAGGAGCACTAGACATCCAAATAGGTTTCAGGGGCCCTTCTGTGTATGATCTTCCTCTGAGAGCGAGCACAGCCTGCCCTATCCCTGCTATCTGCAGCTGTTGCTCCAGAGTCCCAGGAAGTTAGGAGCAGCTCCAGCCAGATCCAGGGTACTCAGCAATTGAGGAATTAAATGAGGCTGAGTGAGTGACTTCGAATGTCTGTCACACACCTGGGGGGAGGGGGGTGCGAGGAGTGGCAGAATCAAGAGACAGCTCGGGAAAAGTGGTTTGTTCCATTGCCCTTTTAAAGGTGTGACAAAGTGCTTGTTGAAATACCCCAGCTGGCAGGGACTGTTCCTTCACAGGCAGTACAAACAACTAGCAGAATTGTCATAATCAAATACATAGGAAAATCCCTAAAAATGAAGGTGAATATTTGTGTAGATCCATACACATATTCCATTTACTTTTTTTTTTAATTTTTTTTTTTACGTGCATGCCATATGGATGTTTGAGGGTTTCCTGCTAATGGTATATATATGCTGCCTGTGATCATTACCCTGGAACAGGAAAATTGGAACTTAGAAAGGATTTTGTTAATAAGCCTTTCCTAAATGACACTTTTGCAATCCACCTCTCAAAGGAGTACAGTGCCAACTTTGTTGTGAGGCAGATGGTAGTGAAAAAGGTGGATGTGACTCTGATCATTTAGCAGGGAAATTAATTTATGTGGTACTAACCAGCCTCCAAATTGGGTTTATTGGCTCATTACAGTTTCTCCAAAACACCAAAGCTTTATGTTTTAAAGAAGCTGAAGGTTATTTTCGGGATATTTATGAGAGGGAGAGAGAGACAGACAGAGAGAGAGAGAAAGAAAATTGACTTAATGACTGAATCTGTATTAAAGGTAAGACAACAACTTCTGTGCAACTTTCAATGAAGGACTTTGCAAATCAGCCAAGGAATGTTGAGGAAATCCTCCTGTCTAGTAGTAAAATGCGTCTTTATCCATCCTTGACTGCTTTAGTATGAATGTTCTTAGATTATTAGCACTGTGCTTTTGGCATGGATATACCTTCACTGCACAAAGTAAATGAAGTGCACCATGGTCTAGCATTACAACATATAGATATTTTACTATTTCTTTTTATAAACAAAAAATTAGGATCTCCTTAAAGCAGAATAATTCTATTTAGTATACTAAAGAGAACAAGTTCAGAATGAAAGATGGACAGCAATATGGAGATTGTGCTTTACATTTCAGAATTTTATGTCAGATGTAATCCTTATATTGGCACTACTTGTGGCAGTCTGTGCTACATCGTTATCCTAAGGATGATTAAGAACCTTTAGTACCAACCTGCCTGAGGAAACAATGGTGTTCCTAGATCTGGTGATTTAAACTTCATTGCTTCACTTCCTTCAAAGTAATTATTTGTGCTTTTAAATTACCTAGTCTGAAAAGGATTTTATGTAATGTATTACAATATGAACTCTGATGAGATTTGTAAAGATTCCTTAAAATTTAGTCCTGAAGTTGTATTAGGATGCTGTATTTAACTGTTACCTTTAATAATTTTTTTGACATTTCATGAAATATGCTACAACTGCAAGATTAATAAAACACTGTTAGTCTAGTCACACACTAGTCTGTGACTTCATTTTGGGTCTCTTTCCTTACACTCATAGAACCATAGAATAGCCTGTGATGGAAGGGACCTTAAAGATGAGCTAGTTCCAATCCCCCTGCCATGGGCAAGGACATCTTCCACTAGACTAGGTTGCTCAGAGCTCCATCCAGCCTGACCTTGAACATTTCCAGGGATGGGGCATCCACAACTTCTCTGGGCAACCTGTTCCAGTGCCTCACCACCCTCACAGTAAAGAATTTCTCCCTAATCTAGTCTAAACCTACTCTTAGTTTGAATCCATTCCCTCTTGTCCAGTACATGCCCTTGTAAAAAGTCTCTCCCCATCTTTCCTGTAGGGTCCCTTCAGGTACTGGAAGGCTGCAATTAGGTCACCTCAAAGCTCTTCTCCAACCTGAACAATCCCAATTCTCTCAGCCTTTTCTCTTAGGAGAAGTGCTCCATCCCTCTGATCATCTTGGTGGCCCTCCTCTGGACTCGCTTCGACAGGTTGATGTCCTTCCCGTGCTGGGGACCCCAGAGCTGGATGCAGCACTCAAGGTGGGGTCTCAACAATGCTTAGTTTGTGTTTAACTTATTCGAAATTATTTGAGTAGTATAAAATGAATTTTCAATAGATTTTTTCAAGAGCAAGTAGTATTTTAGTCTTCCTATTTTCATCACAATCATTTTTTTCTAACTTTGTGGAGTGTAGACATAAAAAATATTAGGAGTTTGTATCCAGGCACACCTGCACAGAAGCACAAGTCGTGATGTGTTTAATACTCCCAGATTAGGCTAACTCCTTCATATCCATTGGATGAGCTTTTTATAGATCCTACACTACAACCTGAAATTTGCAGGATGCACATGATTGCTCTTTCCACTTGAAACAGGAGCACTCTCATGGTTGCCTTGTTTTCATTCTGTGAGCTGATATTTATCAGCAGAAAAAGAATTATAGAAAATTGTCGAAAGGAACAACTTGCTGAGGGCCAGAAGCCTGGGGTTTTTGTGGCTTTTGAGTTTTGGGGGAACGGCTACTTATATTGGCAGGTGACTTGAGATTCCTTTTTAAATAATTAACAAAAATTTCAAATGCTTTTTGGAAGTGGGAATGTTGCATAGACACTCATATGTGTCTTCTATTACTTTTCAGTCCTGTACTAATACTCATTTTCTCCAGAACAGATTGTCTGTAATTAGTTGAAATAATTACCTGCTATGAAGTTTAGGATATCCTCCAGAAAGACTTGGCTAGAATGAAGAATTCCCAAATCCCAAACTGAGACTTAAAATAGTCCTCCCTAATCATGGAGATATTTATATTTGACAGCTCAACCTTGTTTCACATGAAGGTTTTCAAGGCAACTAGAGCTCTGCTTGTAGTCCATAGAAATAAATTAAGTTTGACTCCACTGCACTCTGTTTTTGCCAGCCTGACTGGGTTTCTCACAAAGTCTCACATGTGGGCTGTGCCTACAAAGCCAGCTGTAATCACTTTATGTAGCAAAGGGGAGGTTGTGGTAAAAGCTGTGCCAAGGCTTAGAGGTCAGAGCATCTCTGTAGGCGCACACCCTCTTTGCAGAGAACCATCCCCTCCCACGGTATTACAAGAATAAAGCTTTTTCCTCCAGTCTGGCTACAGGTAAGAGGTGTGGATCAAAGTGGTTGAAGTGGTCCAGATACATTCTGTTCATAAGGACAAGAATTTCCTCCCTGCTGTTTAGGCTTTCCTTTCAGTGACAGCCCAATTCTTCCATCATTTATGCTCAAGACTCCCTACCTATCACAGTTGCCTGACTTCTTCCAAATATCTATATGGTTGTAAACTTTTAAAGGGCAAATACAGACAAAAGAATTACATATAAAACGTGATGAGATAAAATGGAGCAAGGAAAGAGAAGGGCTGCTTATAAAATATTTTCCAATAGCACTACTGAATTGTGGAGTAGCTCCCTGTGAAAAGCTGCAGTAGTCCAGTGATCTGAATAAAATGCAGTTGTGGTGGACAAGGGCTACATGAGCATATCCTGCAGCATTAGTTGCCCTGACAATGAAATAAGTGTGAACTATTAGGACTCAAAAAAACTAATGCCCTCCTGCGTTCCCCAAGACACACCTCAAGTGGGGAGTGGAAACATGGTTGGTTTATGATTTCTCATGTAGCATTAATCCAAAACTTTATGCACATGAACTACTCATTAGTCTTTCTTAAAGAAGAAACAGAAGATTCTGAGGCCGATTTTAAAATTCATGTAAAAATATTTAACAGGGAAAAAGAAATGTTTCAATAACCTATGTTGGTGGTCCCCAAATGTTTTGCTTTTGCAATCCTACTTTTGATTGCTGGTCCTGGTTTCTATCAAATTACCATAGATGGCTAAAAAGTAAGTGCTGCAGCTTTCTTTGAGGTCACAACCTCCAGACTGAGAAGAACAAATGCTGGTATCCACAGCACGTAGTAATACTTCTATTTTATTAAAGATTATCAACCCAACCTATTTTCTACTTTGAAGGAGAAAGGCAAGGGAAGAAAACACTTGTTTTTTCCAGATAGAGATATTGTGTTGTATCTGTCCAAACCAGAGCTATCCAGAAGTCCTGTCAACACAAAATGTGTCACAGGGCTAACCAGAAAACACAGTTTCCCTCCACTTCAAGTCATGACATAGCAACTTCATGGGTCTTTCCCAGGTCAGAATGTTTTCATCTTACCTTAGTCAAAAAAACATGCTGGAAGAGGCTTAAAAAAAGTTACTTATTAATCTAAAATAAAAAAATACCACAAAGCAGAAAACGAGTAGTTTTCAGTGCAGATCAGACTTCTCTCCTCCTTGCCTGTAATTAAAAACTGACTTGGAGTGCTAAGATCTGAGTATCTCCAGATTTTGAGATGGAATCCTGAGGAGTCCAGTGACCAGAAACCAAAACACAGCAGATAATGGTTTATACATTTCAGGATGGAAAAAATGCAAATGAAAGGACCTGTTACATGAAATGCTGCAGACTTTCTTCCCTGAAGTCTATGGCAGTTGCAAGTGTTCACTGCCTACAAAAGATAAGTGCGCCTATGATATCATATTCTGAGATTCCCAAGTGTGAATATACCAAGTGTGAACCCTCTGGACCGAAAAGTCTATGCACTCCTTCCAAATATCATTTCTTTCCTAGTCAAATGTGAATTTCCACTTGCAATGCTATATTCCTAAACTCTG